TGCCTGAGCTCAGGGACTTTCTGGAGCCGGCTGCTGGTCTGAAAGCAGGGACTTTGCCCTTCCCTGTATGAGCATTGTAATCAATGATCTCATCGGATTCGGAGCCCCTTGAAGGTAGCACCATGTCCCCTCCCACCGCCATAATGCAGATGTTCTGGTATGACCTGCTGCGTGTGCAGAGTCTCAGCTAGGGCCCAAGGGGCTCGGTGCACTAACAGTTTGGGTCCCATTGGGCTGAAACCACGCATGTCCTGGGGTATCTGCTGGCTCCAGGGGCCAAACTTCCTGAAATGACAATGGGCTGAGAGGGGCAGGGAACCTGGATAGAAAACCCTCTGGTCACAGTTCTGGTGATGGCGACAGGACGAGGGGATTTGCCCAGAGCTATGCAGGCTTCTTCTGGGTGCTTCCTGTCATTTTGCCAGACCAGACCTGCAGCTACCTTTTATGCAAGTATGTGGTGCAGGATAAGGAGTGCTCCTGGACTCTGCTCTCTCTCGTCTTGGTGGCCTTTCAATTTCTAATCTTGTGTTTCATCTCAGAACAAGGGGCCAGCTCCTCTTTTATAGAAGAAGGAATGGTTTTGACTAGTCCCAAGGCTAACTAAGGGACCATAATAGACCTTTTGGCTCTTCGTCCAGTGCTCAACCTGTCTTTCTGGGCTCAGAGGCCGAGACCTGAGGCAGGGAGGAGATTTACCCAAGCTCTGAGCTCTGGTAGCAGCAGCGAGTTATGGCTTCTGTTCTCAGCAGAGATGACAGACAGTGTCAAAGCCAAATATTCACTGGAGGCAAAGTCTGAACACTTCAAATAAGATTTAGCGAATCATCCTGTTGAGGGGAACTCAGAACTCAGAAATCCCTGCAGGTTATGGGCTGATGGCCTGGCTAATCTCAAGAAGATGGACAGGGGGCACCTTCTGGTATTTATGTTTTGAAATTTCCCCTTTTCTTCCGCCATTAAGAAAAAATAAATTTTATCCTTGGGCCACAAAGCTCAAGAGAGTTTGGAATCCTGTGATCACTGACTCATAAGCCCGAAGCTTTGAAGGATTCAAAGGACCCCCATTGCCTCTATTCCTTGCCCTTAGCTCTCCTCTCATTTGGGGGAACCTGTGCCAATGTGCAGATCACAGCGGAGCATTTAGAGGTACAGAGGTCACCCTGGCTCCCCCTTCCTCCAAGGGGGCCCTCCGGAAAGGGCATCTCTTTCTGCCAAAGTGTAGCTTTTTCTCTGTGAGCCCGGGTGCTCTTTCATACCTGGCCCCTCCCCACCCCTGTGATGGCCACCCTTTTGCTACATTTTAAATCCCCCGAGTGCCCCTTGGAATCCTGTGTTGGGACTTGTCTGCTTTCTCCTGACAGCCAGAGAGGTACTTCTGCTGGCTGGTATTTCTAAACTTCAGCCCCTTCCCCTGGGCTCTTCTCCTCTTTCCCCCACCCCTGGCCCACCTGGCCGCTCTTAGGGGGTGATGAATGGCGAAGTCTCTCCTGACATTGCTATGGGGGAGAAAGTGAAATGCCGAATGAAAGTGAGAGGGGCCTGGGCCTGGGGCTGGGTGAGCTTGTCTCTCTGGAGGTCCTTTGTAATCCCTTGAATTTCAAGCACCAATCTTTTGTGGTCAACAAAGTACGTTTTAACATTTTTTTTTAATTAAAAAGAAAGTTTTAGGAAGTTTAGAAACTCCTCTAAACTTAAATAATTTTTTTAATGCACTTAAAATGATTTTTTTAAATGCATTGCTGTCTTGACAAAAGAATAGTTTATTCATAAACAAGACACAAAAATAACTTACTATTATACCGATTATATTAAAATAAAAAAATTCTGTTTATTGGACATCTTAAAGACAAGTTGCATACTGGGAGAAGATATTTGGGATGCATGTGACTTGCAAAGAATCGGTTCATCTTTACACCTAATTTGATAAAAAGAGATGACAAGAATAAGGCGTCACAGAAAAGGAAAGACATGAGAATAAACACAGAGGGGTATTTAGCCTCATTTTATTAAGGGAGAATGCTAGGAGCCACAGCAAAAGTATTATGATACATGGGAGAATAATCAATGAGCAACAGTGAATCCACATATATTTGTTCAATTGGCAAATATTAATTTGTCTATTCATATAGGGAGTTGAAAAAGATGTGGATGTTCATTTATCATTTGATGGAAATTTGCGGGGCCTGACTTTGCATTGGATACTCTCCGGGTACTCAGAAGGTCAAAGTTAACAAAGAAGACAAAAAATGCAGGTTCTTGTGGTGGCTGACATTCTTCTGGGAGGATATGGATAATATGCAGTGAATGTGAATATTAAGTAAATGGCACAGTGTGCTAGAAAGGACAACACAGAGGAGGATAAGGACAATCGGGAACCATGGTGGGATAACTTCCAATTTGAATGGAATAGTCAAGGTACACCGCATTGAGAAGGTAACCTGTGAGAGAGAATTGAAGGACACCAAGGTGTGCAAATACCTGGAGGAAGAACATTTTAGGCAGAGAGGACAGCCAGCGCGAGAGCCCTGAGGTGAGAGCTCAACTGGATTTCTTACCCCTTGTTGATGGGAATGTAACATAATATAACCCTTTTGCAAAACGATTGGGCAATATCTTATAAATCTGAACAGCAATTCTATTCTTCAGCACATACCCTAAACACACTTTTTTGACTGCATTAGCGGAAATGTACGCGAGCGTTTAAAGCACTGATGTTCATAATAAATAGATAACAAAAAAGAATTAAATAACTCAAAAGTCCAGGCATAAATCATATTGTTTGGTCATGTTCTAATTAGCTGTTGTTGCATAAAAATCCCCAAATATAGTGGCTTAAAACAACCATCATTTATTATCTTTCAAAGTTTCTTTGGATCAGAAATTTGGGCAGGGCCGAGAAGGAAGTCTCTCCATTTGGGGACTTAAATGGTAAGACTTGAAG